GCAGATGCCTGTAAAGACAAATGGGATGTATTTTCCTGCAGCGATACTGCACAGCTACATACATCTGCCGCCACCGCCGACAACACATTGTCAGTGCCCTAGTGATTTTCAGGCAAATGGTCAGGGTCCTAGTCATCTTTAGACTGATGGTCAGGGTCCTAGTGATCTTTAGGCTGATGATCATGGTCCTAGTGATCTTTAGACTGATGGTCAGGGTCCTAGTGACCTTTAGGCTGATGATCATGGTCCTAGTGATCTTTAGACTGATGGTCAGGGTCCTAGTGACCTTTAGACTGATGGTCAGGGTCTTAGTGACCTTTAGACTGATGGTCAGGGTCTTAGTGACCTTTAGGCTGATGATCATGGTCCTAGTGATCTTTAGGTTGATTGTCATTGTTAAACCTGTTTGTCCACCATGTCAAGACACTGCTTATATGGCTGAGTTTACCAGGAACCTCTCAGACTGAARAAGTCTCTTGAAAGAGTGACCAAACATCCAGAGGACCTACTCAATTTTTTTACATCTGAGAACAATGTCCACAAGTAAACATATTGCTCCCTGTTCTTAGTGGGTGGAGCTAAGGAGATGGTCAGATATTTTCACAAACTGTTGACGTGTTGAAGATAAAACTTTGATCAAACATGTGCATTTTGGAGATTTTGTTACTTGAGTTAATTTGGCCATGCCTCTTTCTGAGACCCTTAAAACAAAGTTGAACTTTTCAAAAGTGTTCTCAAAAAATCACAAGTTTTTGTTTCTGTTTAAGTTCCTACAAAGTAACTAATTGATCAGGTGATGTGAAAATGTGTGTTTGTTCCATCAGACATGAAACCCAGCTCRGTGTCGGCCACAGTCCCCTGTCTGCCTGCCTACATCCTGTTCATGTGCATCCGCCACGCTGACTACATCAATGATGACCAGAAGGTGGAGTCTCTGCTTACCTCCACCATCAACGCCATCAAGAAGGTCCTAAAGGTCTGGCCTCCACAACACACACCTGTCTGATGTCACACACCTGTAGTAGAGTGTTACATCACCAGTGTTCTGCTTGGTTCTGCAGAGGAACAACGAGGACTTTGAGATGATGTCGTTCTGGTTGGCTAACAGCAGCCGGTTGCTGCACTGCCTGAAACAGTACAGTGGAGATGAGGTGAGGTCTGAGCTCCAGGTAAACACCAGGTAAACAACATTCCCTCTCACTTCCTGTCTAAGGTCATGTGTTCTTTCCCCTTCAGTCCTTCATGACTCAGAACACCCCCAAACAAAACGAACACTGTTTGAAGAACTTCGACCTGGCCGAGTACCGGCAGGTTCTGAGTGACCTGTGCATCCAGATCTACCAGCAGCTCATCAAAGTGGCTGAAGGCATCATTCAGCCAATGATTGGTGAGTTCTTGCTGTTTTCCATCAGTCATTGGTCAGTTTCTGAGTCCTCCCACCTCTAACTCCTCCCCCTTTCCTAATCTTTGACTCCTCCCTGTGCCTCTGACTCCTCCCCTCTCCTTATCTTTGACTCCTCCCTGTGCCTCTGACTCCTCCCCTCTCCTTATCTTTGACTCCTCCCTGTACCTCTGACTCCTCCTCTCAGTGTCAGCCATGTTGGAGAGTGAGAGCATCCCGAGCCTGGCGGGCGTGAAGCCGATGGGCTACAGGAACCGCTCGTCCAGCCTGGACATGGACGCTGACGGACCGGCCAGCTTCACCCTGCAGACTCTGATTCGACAGCTGAGCCAGTTCAACAGTATCATGCGGGACCATGGACTGGACCCTGAGATTGTGAACCAGGTGGTCAAACAGCTCTTCCACAACATCAACGCCATCACCCTGAACAACCTGCTGCTGCGTAAAGACGTCTGCTCCTGGAGCACCGGCATGCAGCTCAGGTACTGGACCGGTCTGTGGGGTCTGTCACGCCCAGGTCCTCCATCTGGACCCAGACCAAGCCAAACAAAGGGTTGGTCTTCCTCTGGGCAGGCAGGAGTCCTGCGGGATAAATCTTGTGTCAGCAGGAACTGAATTAGAATTTCTCAGATTGAATCTGAATGTGAAGAATYTGAAAATGAATTTTACTAAAGTGAAGCTGAATTTAATGGTTAAAGAACAATAAAACATTTCCTCTGCAAAGTGAAGGGTCAGAAACCAGACCCACATGTTGTCTCCTTTCAGAGAGCAGAGTCAGAAAACAAGACAAAAATCATCTGAAGAGTCTCTGAACCGGTTGGTTCTGTGTTTGTGGGTCAGGTACAACACGAGTCAGCTGGAGGAGTGGCTCCGGGCCAACAACCTGTTCCAGAGCAAAGCTGCAGCCACGCTGGAGCCCATCATCCAGGCCGCCCAGCTGCTGCAGGTGAAGAAGAAGACGTCCCAGGACGCCGAGGCCATCTGCTCGCTCTGCACAGCCCTCAACACGCAGCAGGTCAGTGAACGCACCGTCTGATTCAGGAACAGGTCAGTGAACGCACCGTCTGATTCAGGAACAGGTCAGTGAACACACCGTCCGAAAACGGTAACAGGTCAGTGAACGCACCGTCTGATTCAGTAACAGGTCAGTGAACGCACCGTCCACTTCAGTAGCAGGTCAGTGAACGCACCGTCTGATTCAGTAACAGGTCAGTGAACGCACCGTCTGATTCAGTAACAGGTCAGTGAACGCATCGTCTGATTTTTGGGTCATTACTTGGTGTGTAGGGGTTTTAAAMGCTAAAATTCTAAAATGGATAATTTGTGAATTATTTAAATATGCAAATTATCTTTTTCCTCGAGGCACCACTAAAGTTTTTGTAGTAAAACTTCAGAAAAACTTTCTCTTAATATTCAGTCTCTAAATATGAAGGCGTTTAATTCTTTCAGTTTAATGACGGTGTGAGACAAGGAAACACACTGACGGAGACAAATCACATTTGGAAATTCATCCGTATATTATTTAAAATGAGGTTCAGAGGGAAATATATGCATTACAMRTCATTTCTCAAGACAAAAACACACTTTATAATCAGTTCCGTAAACTTGATCGAGAAGTGACGTAATTAATCTGACATGGCTACCATGTGAATAACTTTCTACACATACTTCAGTGAGACACAAACTCGCTATTTCTAAGCCTACAGCAACAAAGAGGGAGCTCAGGGGAAGAAGAATGAACATTGATATAATCTGATCTGATTTAAGTCTTTGAACACACCATCAGATTAATTAAGCAAGATATTTCCTACCGGCAAAGTTTGTAGACGCCAGAATGGATACTTCTATGCTAATTGGGTGGCACGTGAAGTCCAACCGAGTCTGTGACTTAGCTGTGTAGAAGTTCCCTGGTCATCTGGTTTGCCGGCTGCATTCACTGGAGATGTTGTCCAGGGCACCGTGGCGGCTGCGTTCCTTGCGGGCACACTGGTGGTCGTCCGACTTGAATTAAATCAGCCTCATCGTTTTAATCAATGTAAATCTCCTTCCTGATAAGTTCCTTCAGATTAAACTACAAAAAGGAAATAAAGTTGGAAAAAGGAATGGCCTCGCCCCKGGATGGGGGAAGCTGGAGCTGAAAACTACTCTCTCTCCTCAAACGCTTCTTAGAACWCCACACATGGCAGAACAATGAAAAACTCCTTGTTCACAACGGAACTTCTCATTGGTTAAAACTTTCTGCGGTGGTCACATGACCTATCAGGACATGTAACAGAAGAACAGAGTAATATTTAATCAACACAGATCAAGTTACTTAAACAATGTCATGATTATTACAGTAATTAAATCAGAGCACCAAGGTATTGTTTTGACGCTTCACAGATGCTTTTTATAGTTATAAAAGGAAAACATGGGTGAAAAATAAAATGTCCACAGGGTGGCGCTGCTGACCCACAGATAAATCTGATGGAGTCTTTTGATGTTTTGTCTCTTCTTGTTTAACATCAGGGTCCTTCGATGTCAAACAATGTTTGTTCCAGTCTTATTCTGAAAGAGGTGATGAACAAATTAACTGGCGACAGGAAGTCTGGTCTTTGTTCTAAGGATTAAGGGAGAAGTGTCAGATGAGTTACAGGAACAAAACACAACACAAAAACATGTACAATAGGTTGCCTTCAGGCCCAGGC